GACAGAAAAAAATGGAAGACAAAAATAGGAACAAATAACAAGAGTAACAAATAGGAAACAGTAGGAAATATGGTAGATGTTAATTCAAGTAAATCAGTAAGTACTTTGAAGGTCAGTGGTCTAAATGAACCAATTAAAAGACAGAGATTGTTAGAGTGGATCAAAAAATAAGATCCAACTATATATTGTCTTCAAGAAACCCACTTTAAATATAAAACATATATGAATTAATAGTAAATGGATGGAAAATGCTAACACTAATCAAAAGAAAGCAAGAGTAGCTACATTAATTTCAGACAGGGCATATTTCAAAGCAGAGAAATTTATTAGTGATAAAGAAGGGAATTACATAATGATAAAGGAGTCAGTTCTCCAAGAAGGTTGTTAGGCACATACACAATCCTTAATGTGTATGTGCCTAACAACATAGCATCAAAATACTGATAGAACTACAAAAACTGACAGAATTGCAAGGACTAACAGATGAATCCTCCATTATAGTTGGAGACTTCAATACTCCCTGTCAGAAATGGACAGATCCAGCAGGCAGAAAGTCAGTCAGGACATAGTTCAACTTAATAATACCATCAATCAACTAGATATAATGAACATCTGTAGACTGCTTCATCTAACAACAGCAGAATACACATTCTTCTCAAGCTCACATGGCAGATTCAACAAGATAGATGACATTCTAGACCATAAGTCACACCTTAATAAATTTAAAAGAAAGAAATCGTACAATGTCTGCTCAGAGATCACAATGGAATTAAATTAGAATTCGATAAGAGAAAGATAGCTGGTAAATCATAAAATATTCGAAGGTCAAACAACACACTTCTAAATAATATATGGATCAAAGAAGAAATCTCGAGAAATTAAAAAATACTTTGAATTCTAAATGAAAATGAAAACAAAATTTATCAAAAATTGAGGGATGCAGCAAAAGTAGTGCTTTGAAGGAAATTTATAGCATTGAATGCATATGTTAGAAAAGAAGAAAAATCTAAAATCAGTCATCTAAGTTTCCGTCTTAGGACATTGGAAAAACAGCAAATTGAATCCAGAGTAAGCTGAAGAAAAGAAATAATAAAAATTAGACTAGAAATCAGTGAAAGTGGAAACAGGAAATCAGAGAAAAGCCAACAAAACCAAAAGCTGGTTCTTTGAAAAGATCAATACAATCAGTAAGCCTCTAGCCAGGCTAACTAACAAAAAAACAGTGTGGGCACAAATTAATGGTATCAGAAGTGAAAGAGCAGATGTCACTGTATATCCCATGGATATTAAAAGTATAATGAAGGAATACTATGAACAACTCTAAGCCCACAAATTTGATAACTTAGGAGAAATGGGCTAATTCCTTGAAGGACACATCTGCTCAAACTCACACAAGAAGAAATAGACAATCTTATCTATTAAAGTAATTGAATCATAATTAGTAACCTTCCGAAACAGAAATCAGGCTCAGATGGTTTCAGGCTCAGATTACTTTGCTGGTGAATTGTGTCAAACGTTTAAGGAGGAAATTATATCAATTCTCTACAAACTCTTTCAGAGAAAAGAAACAGAGGGAAACTTCCTAACTCATTCTATGTGACCAGCATTACACTAATACCAAACCAGACAAAGACATTAGAAGAAAAGAAAACTACAGATCAGTATCTCTCATGAACATAGATGCAAAAATCCTTAACCAACTATTAGGAAATCAAATCCAACAATATATAGAAATAATTATACGTCGTGACCAAGTGGGATTTATTTTTTCAGTTATGCAAGGCTGGTTCAACATTGAAAATCTATTAGTGGAAGCCATCACATCAGCAGAATAAAAAAGAAAAATTACATGATCATATGAATAGATGCAGAAAAAGCATTTGACAAAAATCCATCACCCATTCATAATAAAAACTCTCAGTAAACTAAGAATAGAGGGGAACTTCCTCAACTTGATAAAGAATATCTACAAAAAACCTACAACTAACATCATATTTAATGGTGAGAAACTTGAAGCTTTCCCACTAGGATTAGGAGCATGGCAAGGATGTCCTATCTTAGCACTGCTTGTTAACATCATACTGGAAGTCTTAGCTAATGCAGTAAGACAGGAAAAAGAAATAAAAGGTATACAGACTGGGAAGGAAGAAAAAAATGTCTTTGTTTGCAGATGATATTATTGCCTATGTAGAAAATCCAAGAGAATCAATTAAAAAACTCTTGGAACTAATAAGCAATTATAGCAAGGTTGCAGGATACAGTGGTAACATACAAAAGTCAATTGCTTTTCTATATACCAGCAATGAACAAGTGGGATATGAAATTAAAGCACAATACCATTTCCATTAGCATGTCCAAAAATGAAATAGTTAGGTATAAATCTAATAAAGTATGTGCAAGATCTATAGGAGGAAAACAACAGAACTCTGATGAGATAAATCAAAGAAATAATTGGAAAGATAGCCCATGTTTGTGGATGGGAAGACTTGATATTGTCAAGATGTCAGTTCTTCTCAGTTTGCTTTATAGATTCAACACAATCCCAGTCAAAATCCCAGCAAGTTATTTTGTGCTTATTGACAAATTTATTCTAAAGTTTATAGGGAGAGGCAAAAAACCCAGAATAGCCAACACAATATTGAAGAAGGACAAAGTCGGAGGACTGTTACTACCCAAAAAGACACAGTAATCGAGATGGTTTGGTGTTTGCGAAAGGCAATAGACAAATAGATCAATGGAACAGAATAGAGAGCCCAGAAATAGACCCACTTAAATATAGTCAACTGATCTTTAACATAGGTGCAAAGTCAATACAGGAGAGAAAAGATAGTATTTTCAACAAATGGTTCTGGAACAACTGGGCATCCATATGCATAAAATGAATCTAGGCACAGACCTTACACCCTTCACAAAAACTAACTCAGAATAGATCACAGACCTAAGTGTAAACTGTAAAACTATAAATCTCCTAGAGGATATCATAGGAGAAAACCTAGATGACTTTGGGTATGGTGATGACTTTTTAGATATAATATTAAAGTCACAATCCATGAAAGAAATAATTGATAAGCTGGATTTCATCAAAATTAAAAACTTCTGCTCTGAGAAATACATCATCAAAAGAATGAGAAGATAAGCCATAGACTGAGAGAAAAGATTTGCAAAAGATAACATCTGATAAAGGACTGTTATCTAAAATATACAAAGAACTCTTAAAAGTCTGCTAAGAAAACAATCTGATTAAAAAATGGGCCAAAGACCTTAACAGACACCTCACCAAAGAAGATACACAGATGGCAAATAAGCACGTGAGATGTTCCATATTATATGTCATCAGGGAAATGCAAATTAAAGCCTCAATGAGATATCACTATATACCTATTAGAATGGCCCAAATCCCAAACATTGACAGCACCAAATGCTGGTGAGGATGTGGGGCAACAGGAACACTCATTCATTGCTGGTGGGAATGCAAAATAGTATAGCCACATTGCAAGACAGTTTGGCAGTTTCTTACAAAATTGAACATACTCTTACCATAGGATCCAGCAATTGTGCTCCTTGGTATTTACCAAAGGAGTTGAAAACTCAGGCCACACAAAAACCTGCACATGGATGTTTATAGCAGCTTTATTCATAATTGCCAAAACTTGGAAGCAACCAAGATGTCCTTTAGTAGGTGAATGGATAATTAAACTGTGGTGCATCCAGACAATGGTTTATTATTCAGTGCTTAAAAGAAACGAGCTACCATGCCACAAAAAGACATGGAGGAGCCTTAAATGCATATTACTAAGTGAAAGAAGCCAATCTGAAAAGACTACATACTGTATGATCCCAACTGTATGATATTCTGGAAAGGCCAAAACTATGGAGACAGTAAAAAGATCAGTGGTTGCCAGGGGTTGGGGGGAGAAGGGGATGACTAGGTGGGGCACAGAGGATTTTATGACAGTGAAACTATTCTGTATGATACAATGGTGGATTCATGTCATTGTACATTTGTCAAAACCCAAAGAATGTACAACACCAAGAGTGAACACTAATGTAAACTATGGACTTGGAGTGATAATGATGTGTCGTTGAAGGTTCATCGGTTGTAACAAATGTATCACTCTAGTGGGGGTTGTTGATAATTGGAGAAGCTGTGGGTGGGGGCCAAAGGTATATTGGAAATCTCTGTCCTTTCTGCTCAATTTGCTGTGAAACTAAAACTGCTCTAAAAAATAAAGTCCATTAAAAAAAAAGGTAACCGAGTTTTTTTTTAAGGGGATTCTAATTCATTTAATCTATATCATAGTTATTGATATTTTTGTTTATTTACACAATGTTGTCCTCCTTGCCATCAAGAACATTGGTAATACAGCGTGTTAAAAATGGGCTCTGAGATTTTCGTCCAAGTTGCTTATCCCTCTTTTGCAAGGTTTTGATGCTGCTGATTTCTTAGTCTTCTCAGAAGGTATGTTAGAAGTTTTTCAGACAACGTCTAGGACTCTTATTTTTTTCTCAAATGCTATTTAAATGGCTTTTTGACTACAGGGTCAAGGACTTACATTTGTCTAGTCTTTCCATAGAAATAATAACCAAGTTCATGCATGCATGCAGTGATTGTCATGATGGCTGCCTGGCCAACAGTCATTGTTAGATGCATCTTCTTTTCAGAGATGTTGCAATGTCAAAAAAAAAAATTCACGTTAGAACTGGTGAATTATTACATATGTTATAATATTTCTGTACACAGCAAATTAATTTATTCGTATTTAAATTTTAGGTGATGATAATACTCTTTCTTAATTTGTTATTAAGAAATGTTTTTCATATGCTGTTGAATTTATCACTGATTTCTAAACTAATTTTTAATTTATTGTCTATAATTGTATATTAAAGATCAACTGACCAATAAGCAGTAAAGTACATGTCAGTTAATGCTTTGGAGTTTAAGTACCTGACAAATGTAAGTTTAAGCATTTAAAATTTTTTTGCATTTCTTTTTTTGACAGGTTACAAAGACAGAATTAGAGAAATTAAAATCTAGCTATAGACAATTAATAAAAGAAATGAATTCTGCCAAAGAGAAATATAAAGAAGCTTTAGCTAAAGGTATGGCAAAATTATGAAAAATGTTTATTTTAGTGATTTTTATTTTTATCATTTGAAAGTTATCTTTATAAGTAGTGGAATGATTCCACTTAGACAAATTCACATTTAAAAAATATCAAAATAAGCCAAAATAGACTAATTGTCAAACTATGTAATGTCTTTCTATTTTTTTTAAATGATACAAGGTATTTTTGAATAGTTCATACAAAATGGAATTATGTAGCATTTGTAATAGAATGCAAGGAATGTTTAAAGTTTTTTCTCTAGCATCAGATTTACTTATTTAATTACCAACTACTAAATAAGAAAAATGAGGTTGTATTTGTTTAGAAGCCTTTTTAATCCCCTTTTTACCTGTGGTATTTAAACACCATTATAATCAAAAATTCATTTTATGGCTTAACTTTGCTTTCATAGCTTAATTTTATGTGTCTATGTTGTTCTAAAATTTTCACAAGCTTTGAAAGTAAATGGAAAGAGAAACGTATTATTTATGTTTTAAACAGAGATTTGTGGTTATAGTCTTTAAATGTGACTAAACATTCTTCATATTTATATATTTTTTTTAAATGATAAAAGTCGGAGTTTTTTTTTTCTTAAATTTCTTCCTGGCTAGATAGAAGCTTTATTAGAAACTTTATTTTCTTTTGGATCTTAAATTTACCTTTCTCTTTTATTAATGTATTTTCTCTTTGTCTTTTACTTGTATATCATCTTGTTATTTTGTTGAGGTAAATGAAATTAACAGCTCCTAAAAATTTGGATATATCTTGCACAATGGAAATACTGTGTTTTTGTTGTTACTCCCAATAGACTAGAAGAGAAACTGATTTAGATGCGGTTCTCCCGCTCTCACTTCCTACTTCCTCCCTTTCTGTCTTCCTCCTCTTGCTCCTCCCTGCTTCCTACCTCTCCTCTTTCTCTCTGTCCCTCCTTCTCTCCGTTGCCCTCCCTTCTGCTCCCCATCTTCCATCCAACATTTACTTTATGTCTGCCTTTCTCCCTGTCTCCACCCATCCCCCCTTTACTTCATGTTTCTGCTTCTTGCAGTGTTTCTATTGCTTTTTAAGAGAAGATGAATTCATGTTCACAGTTTTCTTATTTTTACTTATTTTTCATGTACCCCAACCAATTTATATATATTTTTTTGCTGAGAAAGATTCACCCTACCCTAGCATCTGTGCCAGTCTTCCTCTATTTTGTGTGTGGGTCGCCACCACAGCATGGTGTAGTTCCGGGCCCGTGATCCAAACCCGTGAACCAGGGCTGTGGAAGCGGAGCTTGCTGAACTTAACCACTGCACCACTGGGCTGGCCCCCCAACCGATATTTTGAGATTATGATCTCTTTATCAATGTAAACACAGCTTTTAAAATGCTTTTGTAATTCAATTATCTAACTTAATATTTAAGTGAAGAAAAGAAAAAAATGTTGTAGTGGAAAGATCCTAGACTGGAGTCAGATAGTCTTGGGTGTAAGTTTCAACACTGTAGGAATATTTTATAGATTTTCCAACGTCTTATACCTAATTATTCCTTTGTTATTTTAAAGAGTACTTTAGATAATCAAGAAATATTTACTGAGCATTGCTATCTTTAAGTTATTGAGAGTCAAACAGTATTTCCTAGGCATTCAAGGAGCTTACCCCTTTCTAGTTGGTATTCTAACTTGGGGACTCCAAGTCTTAACCTCTTTCAAAATTTAGCATTTATACAAGAGATTCCTTGCTAAACCATCAAGAGTAATTTAGAAATAGTTTTGTACATTAAGCATTACTACTCAATCTGTCGAAGTATTTAATTTTATAAAGTTTATTACTTAATGCCTGGTTAGCATTCTCAAATTGGTACCCTATATTGTAAATATCCATCTTTAAATTCACCCAGAGCAAGTGATAAGTTAATCCAACTGTATTGTAATCCAGCTATGCTAAGTATCTCACACTAGGTTTGTATCTTTTGGAGAATGATCAGTTAGAAAAAGGATTACATAATTACTCCCAAGTCTTTCTGATACCTATTTTTAATGAGATAGTTTATTTTTATTTAAAAAATGAGATATAATTCTGGTGTCATAATAAAATTTTAAATATTTCTTATACCTAATACTTATATTATCAAAGATTATTCACAGATAATAAATGTTCTGTGTTACTTTTGATCGGGATGAAACACCATTTAGTCTTGTATTAGTAACAGGAAGGCAACTAGAAAATCTGAAGATCATAGTTTTAATTGGTCTTAAGAAGTGTATTATTTGAGTCTCTTAAGTTAAAACATGTGAGCCTATTTACATTTTTCTTTCTAAAGGTGTTGGTGATAGTATTTTCCTATTTCTAAGAATTTGATTATTTCCACTAAATCAGTTTATAACCTATAGAACATATATATATATATTTTCTTCTTTTTTTTTCTTTTGGTGAGGAAGATTGGCCCTGAGCTAACATCTGTTGCCAATCTTCCTCTTTTTTTTTTTTTGCTTAAGGAAGATTGTTGCTGAGCTAACATCCGTGCCAGTCTTCCTCTATTTTGTATGTGGGACGTGGCCTCAGCATGGCTTGATGAGCAGTGTGTAGGTCTGTGTCCGGGATCTGAACCTGCAAACCCCGGGCAACCGAAGTGGAGAGCGCAAACTTAAGCACTATGCCGCCAGGCCAGCCCTAGAATATATATATATATATTTTTTTGTTTGTTTGTTTGTTTTTTTGTGAGGAAGATCAGCCCTGTGCTAACATCTGCCAATCCTCCTCTTTTTTTTTTTGCTGAGGAAGACTGGCCCTGGGCTAATATCTGTGCCCATCTTCCTCCACTTTATATGGGATGCTGCCACACCATGGCTTGTCAAGGACTGCATCGGTGCACGCCTGGGATCCGAACCAGCGAACCCCGGGCTACCGCAGCAGAGTGCACGCACTTAACTGCTTGCGCCACCCAGCTTGCCCCTAGAATATATATTTTTAAAATAAGCTCTTATATATAATTATGTTTTATGCGTGAGACATATGTAAATTTCTTTTATAAGCAAAACTATCTTTATACTCATATTTACATGAAAAGTATAAAATTATATTTTTGAAAACTTTGTTTCTGTTTTCAAACTGGTTCTATATGTTTAACATGGAAATAGGAGTTCTTTTGTGAAGTTATTTACTCTGTATAAGGATGATGTGACAGCAAATTTTTCCAACATTTACAGGCTTTATGTCAGAACCTTAGTTCATCTGGATAGGCCAGACCAGAGCATTTCTGGAATAGACCCTAGGGACTGCTGGGGCACTGGCAGTGGATACCCAAGCTATGGCTCTGCTGAGTATTAGTAGGTCTTGGAAAAGCTGTTTAAAACCACAGTCTGACATATAGCATTCAGCTGGAGAAGACAAGGCTTTGGGAGAGACAGGACTTGGAAATAATTCCTATGGTAAGGGTTAAATTCGGATTTGGTAGAAAATGGGTTTGGAGTCAAGGGCTCAGTTACTGCAACTGGAGGTTCAGCAGCAGTAGTAGATCAGCAGGAAGGCTGGGTTGATGCTGAAATTCCAAACTCCTGACCCCTGGTGTATGGATTACACAAAATACTATAAATTTTGAATGTTAGAATATATATCCAAAGAAACACTAATTTATGTTTAGTCTAATGTAAAATATAAACTCATTTGCAATATGAACGTAGCATCATTTAAATTAAATTTTTTTGGTAATATACCTTAAATATTAAACTTATTTTGCTCTGTGCTGTGTTGAGGGAGCAAATATTTGTCTTAAATTGACTTTGACTAATTTGGACGTTAACTTATTGATTATTGTTTATAACATGTACATGGAGAATAACCAAAATAATTTTAGCCTATTGAGCTGAATAATTTAGAGTGTTTCTTGACAGCATAGAATAACAAGTTCTTAAATGCAAAATACACCAGTTTTCCTTTCCTATTGCCAGATTAAGTTCTGAATACTTTTAGCTGGTTAAACATATAGTTAGGTTTAGTCATAAAACAAATTTTGTGAATCCATAAAGCTTGTATCTGAACTAAGGTTCTGACATAATGGCAGTAAATGTTGGAAAAATTTGCCGTCAAATCATCTTTTATAACGAGTAAATGACTTCACAAAAGAACTCCTATAGGATCATATCATCTATGAATAAAAACAGTTTTACCTTTCCTTTCCAATCTGCATCTCTTTATTTTCTTTTTCTTGCCTAATTTCCCTAGCTAGAACCTCCAGTATAATGTTGATTAGAAGTAGAAGGAGCAAACATGTTTGCCTTTTATCTGAAATTAGGGAGAAAGTCTTTCACCATTAAGTGTGAAGTTAGCTGTAGTTTTTCAAAGACTTTTTTTTTCAGGTTGAAGAAGTTTCTTTCTATTCTTGCTTTAAAATGGATGTTGGATTTTGTCATATGCTTTCTTGTATCTGTTGAGATGAATATTTTTCCTTCTTTTTAGGTTGATATTGTGAATTATTTTGATTGATTTTCACTTTTTTCAAAATATTACACCAATCTCACATTCCTGGGATAAACTCCTCTCGGTCAGGATGTATTCTCATTTTTTATGTTGTTGCATATGGTTCCCTAAGTTTTTCTTCGTAATTTTTCATCTATGTCTTTGTTTCTTGTAATATCTTTGTCTAATTTTCACATAAGGGTAATGCTATCTTCTGCATGATTACCTCCTCCTCAATTTTTTAGAAAGATTTGTGTTCCATTGGTAATATTTTTAAAATATTGGTAGAATTGACTTGTGAAGCCCTCAGGGACTGCTTGTTTTCATTTTTTCCTTTTTTGCGAAGGTTTTAAACTATAAATTCAATTTCTTTAATTGATATAGGGCTATTTAGTTTATCTGTTTCTTTTTGTTTGAGTTTTAGTAGGTTGTATCTTCCAAGGAATTTGTCCATTTCATTTAAGTTGTTGAATTTATTGGCATTAAGTTGTTCATAATATTCTCTTATTCACTTTTTTATATTTGTAGAATCTGTGGTGATATTTTCTTTCTCATTC